AGTTATTTATTTCGTTTGATTTCATTATATCAAGTATTATATCAAGTTTGATATTATATTTTAAGCAAAAGTATACTGACAAAGGAACCTCGCAAAATGCCAAATTCTTTGAATCTGGTATAATTTTAATGATATAAGTTAGATTAATCTATAAATGAAATTAAAAAATATTCTTGAGACTTTCACGACGGGTTCTTTCTATATAAAGATTATGCGTTTCGCGGATTTCTTCCGTCCAGATACAACCTGATACAATATCAGACTGTTCCTCGCCTTGATGAAGTGAACTGCAAGGTTCACGAAACGTTGGCATTCCAAGAATGGATCTGGACACGGAAGAAACTCGCGAAAAACACAATCTTTATATAGAAATTAGAAAATATTATTTGTGAAAGGACAATTTTAAGGGATGAAATCTTTACAAGTAAAGCCTTTTTCTGCTCTCCTCCCCTCCCTGTCACATTCAAGATATCAAAAAATATATTGTACAATAAATAATTTTTATAATAAGTTTTGTAATAAATTACCTGTATTTATCCACGTCAATTTAATATATTTATTTTTAAAAATAATTATTTTTAAATACAATTTTTGAATCCCCTTTATTCGATTATTAATGCGTTCATGATGATACTTCTAAACTGGCTTCTATAATCAAATAAAATAGACAGATCTCAAATACGCGACCATAATAAAAAAAAAACGATCATCGAAACAAAAGAGGAAAAACATAACGATTTACATTCAACACAATCTCAATGATAACCCTGTAATCCTCGTACGTAGTTATCTTTGCAGATGACAACGTACAACTGAAGCTATACATCTCTACTACAAAATCGATTTTTCAAGCCCGTGCTGGCTTCTCCCTTTCTACCTTTCTCTTTCTTTTGTTCTCCCTAATATGTCGCTGAAAGTACTTATTATGGTCATGCGCAAATTTTCTACCATTCTACAATCGATATGGTACCAGCCAGTCGCTCGCGCACCTTCGACACAGCAATATGGGCAAAATCCCGACATGGCCCAATGCAAATCATGAGAAGGATGTAATCGACATTCTGATATGGAACCGATGGTTATTGCGGGTTCTTGGGATCTGGCCACTGATATACCCGGACACCACAATGATCGAAAAGATTCTGGCAACGTTCTCGTTTGCATCATGTTGGATTGTACTCGGTTTATTCCTGATACTTACGAGCATGTACACCTTTACGGACCGAAGTATCATGGGTGAGAAAATGAAGATGCTGGGCCCACTGGGTTACGTGTTCTTTTCCATGCTGAAGTACCTTTTCCTAGTGATACGTCATAAGAGTATTCGACGATGCGTTCAGATTCTCAGTACAGATTGGCGTATGGTTCAAAAAAAATATCATCGAGAAATCATGATGAAGGACGCGGAGAAGGGCCACTTGCTATCCAAATTTTGTATAGTATTTATGTATTGCGGCGGCTTGTCTTACAATACAGTAATGCCATTCCTATCGCAAACATCGGACGCAAACAAACAGAATGACACCGTCCGACCGATGGCTTATCTCGGCTTCGATATTGTTTTCGATTTGCAATTAATGCCAATTTATGTGTTTGCCTTTTCTCTTCAATGTTTTATCGGTATTGTTATGTTCAACATCACTACATCAGTGTGCTGCTTAGCAGCCATGTTTGTTGCTCACGCGTGTGGCCAGATTGACATTGTGATTGCACGTGTGGAGAATCTTTTCAAGGGAGAACGCGATCATACCAAGTTTGAGAAATACATGGCGATTATCGTGCAGCATCACGTGAGAACATTAAGGTAAGTATTGCTCTACCTGTATCTTATTACCTATAAAATTATCCACACATATCTCAATAAATTTCCACGAGAATATCCTCTGAATTTTTTAAATAAAAGTTTAAGTTTGCAAAATTAACATTATTCAAAATAATATTTGATAAAAGATTATGTTTTCCATTTTGTTAAAAATATTTGACGAATGCTCGCTCGCTTTGTAGATTTTCAGCTGGTATCGAAGATACCTTGCGCGAGTTATGTCTAGTCGAAATAGTGGGAACGACATTGATAATGTGCTTGGTAGAATATTCCTTGATAACGGTAATAAAATATTTCATATATTTCAAGTAATCATAATTATATTCAAGTAATAATAATTACAGTTAATACATTTGTCTAATACATTTGTCTAATTCACAATTCCCGATAAAATATACGAAATCGATTCCATTCGCAGGAGTGGAACAATAGTGACAGTATAGCAATCTTCACGTACTTTTTTCTATTTGTTTCATTTGTCTTCAACATCTTTATATTTTGTTACATCGGCGAACTATTAACGGAACAGGTGCTTATATATAAATTTTATGTCGGACTAAATTAATTACCATGTGATTTCGCAGAATTTAATTTCGGCCAATTCTGTATTTAAATAATATACTGATATGTATATGTAATCCGCAAATATACAAAATTGGATACACAGTGCAGCAAAATCGGGAATACTACATATACAATTGAATGGTACAATTTACCGGGAAAAGTCGCTCTTGATTTAATGCTGATGATTAATATGTCTGGACATCCGGTACAAATTACTGCTGGAAGATTATTAAGTCTCTCTTTTGCAAATTTTGGAAATGTAAGTATAATTCATTTTCATGTTTAAAAGAGAAATATTAAATTTAAAAAAAAATAAAAATGATTAAATCTAAATAAATTTATAATTTTAAACAAGATTTCATTACGTAATAGCTCATGAATTACTTTTATAGGTTTTAAAAACATCGATTGCGTATTTAAACTTACTTCGAACTGCCATTCGGTAGATACATGAAATGACATGCAATCATTTTGATATTCTCTGGTTTGCAAAAAAGAAACAATATTTAATCAATATTTTTAAGATAAAGGTGCATATTAAATAAATTGTTTAATGCAAAAAAGACATTTATGAAAAATTAATGTTGATTTTAAAATTCACAAGAAGTAAGATTTATATTATGGTTATTTTACCTTCATGTTTTTAAAAGATAAGATCAGGTAATATAAATATTTATGTATATACACTTCTTACATACAACAGACAAAAATTATTTATTTTTTTTTTTATAAAATTCTGAGAATTTCTTCAGAATTTTTTCAAAATTTTTTAATACCGTATTTTCTCAAGACAGAACTCTCCATGCAGATAGAAATACAACTGTGACAAAGTAATATTCCCCTCGACAAAATTGATTATTCAAGTACATCTTCCTTTTCCTACCATGATTTATCGAAAGAACCTGTAATTGTCATGCGCAATTTTTTACCATCGCACTATCAATGAAGCACACCAGTCGCCTTTGCGCCATCGTGACGACAGTATGGCTAAGCTTAACATCTCCTGGTCGAATGTGAACAGTGAGAGGGATATAATCAAAGCGCTAATGTGGAATCGATGGATACTACGAATTCTCGGAATCTGGCCATTGGTCTATTCGAATACTACAACGATCGAAAAGATATTAGCGACGATATTATTCGCGTTATGTTGGTCCGCGCTCAGTTTTCTTCTAATTCCCTTGATCATTTTTACGCTGTCAGAACGAACAACTATATATGAAAAAATTAAATTGCTAGGTCCGCTAAGCTACGTGATAATCGCGACGCTAAAATATTTTTTCCTGGTGATTCATCGCAAGAATATACGGCAATGCATTAACATGCTAAGTACCGATTGGCGTGCAGTCCATCAGCAGAATTATCGAAAAATTATGAATAAAAACGTGACAAAAAGCCATATGTTATCCAAGTTTTGTATAATGTTCATGTATTGTGGAGGCTTAAGTTTTCATACCGTAATGCCATTTCTGACACACACTACAATCGACGAGCAGAATGTCACTGTTAAACCTATACCTTACCCCGGCTTCGATATTATTTTCGACTTGCACTTTACGCCAGCCTATGTATTTGTATTTTGCGCACAATGGTTTTCCGGTATCGTACTGTTCAATGTCACCACGGCAGTGTGTTGCTTGGCAGCTATGTTTGTAGCTCACGCTTGTGGCCAAATCGAGATAGTGATGGCTCGTGTAGAAAATCTTGTAAAAAATGTACAAAATAGTCGTATGAAGGAACATATGGCAATTATAGTGAAACACCACATGCAGTCATTGAGGTGAGTGCTTATGATGCACATCGTTGCGGAAAAAAATTTTTATGTCAATTATATCCGATTATTTAAATTGAAAATTATAGGAATTGCAGATAAAGAATATTTACAGAAATATTTACAGAAGAAGGAAAAACAAAAAAATTTTTAACTTATATAAACATAAGAAATATTTACTTTATAAATAGTATAATTAAATTTAATTAATTATTAAATTTGTTACTAACTGTACTCAAGAATTCACCGCAGAAAATTGAAATTAAATTATTAAATGAAATATATAAAGTGTACAATAAAAGATTTTGCAGATTTTCAGTCAGTATTGATAATATTTTACGCGAGATATGTCTGGTTGAAATAGTGGGAGCAACGTTAAATATATGTCTGCTGGAATATTACTGCCTCATGGTAATATGTAAAAAATTTCAACAATAATTGATATGGAAGTTGAAATAAATGATTCAATTAACACTTTGATACCAAATTTTTATCATTAAATATGTTTTACATATATTTGATGATAAAAATTTGGTATCAAAGTGTTAATTGAATCATTTATTTCAACTTTTTATAAAGTATTATTTCCTATTTCTGAAAAAAATAAAATTCAAGGTGTAAATACATGTAAATAATAAGTGTAAATATGTTTTTAATTCAATAAAAAAATAAAATTAATGATTTATTATCATCTCTCACAGGAATGGAATAACAATGACAATATAGCGATTTTAATATACTTTTTTCTATTAATATCGTTTATTTTCAACGTTTTCACATTTTGCTACATTGGTGAACAATTAACAAATCAGGTGTTTATACTTAAATTTTTTAAAAATGATTTAAATGATATTATATTTTAAAAGTTTTTAATTTTGCAATATACAGGATGTATCTAAAATACGCCCATTAATCAAACACTGCTATTTCTAATAAAAAAACTAACTGTAAGACGAAAAGTCCTCCACCATTTTGAAATTTTCGCAATTGTTAACGTGATATTTATTCTTTAAAGTTGCCGAATAAACGAATAAAATCGATGTATAAGACAATTTTAAGATATCTATTAGTGTTCTTTATAAAATATTTTGAAAATTTGTTTTGTAAAAAACTCATAAATAAATTTTAAAGTTGTCTTATACGACGATTCTAAACATTTTGTTTATTGCATAAACTAAAAAAAAATATTGCGAAAATGCAAAATTACAGAGTCTTTTATTTCAGTTTTTTTATTAAGAATAGCACTATATGATTAGTGGGCGTCATTTCAGACACACTCTGTATATTACAAAAATTTAAACATCTCTAATAATAATAAAAATTTGCGTGACAAACACACATACATACATGACATATGTATATATAAATTGTACATTTAGTGCAGCAAAATTGGATTTGCTTCATATAAAATCGAATGGTATCATTTACCAGGAAAAACTGCACTCGATCTCACGTTAATAAACAGCATATCACAGCATCCGATAAAAATTACTGCAGGAAAAATAATTAATCTTTCGTTTTCAAGTTTTTGCTCTGTAAGTACAATTCATCACTTCAAAAGTAAAAAAGCACAATAATAAAAATTTTTTTAAGCATATATAATATTGCATACATTAACAGGTACTGAAAACTTCGATTGCATATCTAAACATGCTCCGAACTTTAGTTTGATCCATGCGAAAGAATTTTTTAATCCTGCTTCATCAATGAATAAAATAATATTCAGTAATTCCTTTACTATAAAAAAATTTATTATTACATTAAATGAATATATTTCAAGATAATAATGTATACGTGTTTGATAAAACATTTAAATGCACATATCAATACATTAAATAAACAAACTTAGTCAAAATTTTATAAAAATGTTTTACGCTTATCATTTAGAGAAGCCGCATCAATTACAATGTATCATTAAAAATGCGAAATCGAAATATTTGCAATTTTTCATGAACTATGATGATGTTTGTAAATATATTCTTCAATTATCATCGTATATATTTCTAAACGCACTTCAATTTAAAACAAAATAGAAAAAAAATTAACTTTTCAGTGATGACATCTACACCTGTTCACACCTGTTTTTCCAATGTATTTTTTATTTCATACTAATAATGAATTTTTACATATCTCGTGTTTCACTTTTTATTATATTATATATTGCAATATATTTGCAATATTTGAAGAAATGAAAGTATGACAGAGAACTTATTGAAATCGCATTTCTGCAAAGAGAAACCAATATGAATCGGTGTTCAACTTTAAAAAAAAAAAAAAAAAAAAAAAAAACCTAAAATGATTAATATAGTACATTTTTACCCATTTAAACCGTTATTTCATCAAACTTCAAACTTGATAAGAAAATACCAGAGACCCTTAAAAAATGGTCTACGCCCGATCATAATATTATATTTTTAAATTTCGTTTGTGCAAGAAAATCATTTGTATCTCTGTCGATTTCATATAACTCGAAGAAGATATGCAGATACAACGTTTTCAGTTTCAATGTAATTCTTTCATGTTCACCTTTTCTCCTCGATATTTCATCAGTATTGTCAGATTCAACAACACTACGTCGGCATGCTGTTTAGCGGTCATACTCATCTTTCAAGCCTGTGGCCAGATCAACATTGTGATAGCATGTGTTTTCAAAAAAAAATACAAATCATACAAAGTTTGAGAAATGCATGGCGATTATCGTGCATCACGTGCGAACATTAGGTAAATATTTTATCTTGCTACCTGCATTTTAGTATCTGTAAAATTACGCACGTTTCAATGTAATATCTGCATGAGAAAGGCTACGAATCTCTTTAACAAAAATTTCTTAAATATAAAATATTAACATTATTCGAAATGTTATCATCTATTAAAAAATTATATTTTCGTCTATTTCGTTAAAAATATTTGACAAATGTCAGTTCATACCTGGATCTTCAGTTAGCATCTATATACTTTGCGCTATTATATACGTTTATTCAAGATAATGTGAATGATATTCGTAATATGCTTGGTAAAAATTTCTTGATAACGATAATTATATATTTCTTTTTAATACTGCTTCCCGTATCAAGCAACAAAATAAGATTATATTAATCATTGAAAAGATTTATTATTTATTGAAAAGATTTATTATTAAATAAATACATTCTAATTTAAAATAATGTAATTTAAAATATGTTGTTATCTTGCGTACATTATATAAGAGAATAACGTATATGCATCTTAAATCATATCATATTATTTAATTAAAAAATCAATAAAGAAAAAAGCCTTTGAAGAACCGATATACCTGGATGCTGTTGCGATCACGTTTTATAATATATATATTATTATATATAAAATATTGAAGACATTCCTTAGTTTGAATCTCCTTCAATTCAGATCCATGACAAGCGAGTTGTCAACATCGCACGATATGCCAATACTCAAATAGCCATTAAACTTGATAATTTAATGGACATTGACATATGGATGCGAATTGACTTAACAGATACACATTATTCACAGTTCAAATTACGAAGAACAAATATTCTTATCATTAATGTATTTACTAAAGAGGATCCAAACCATGAATCGAAATACGTTTAATTATTTTATACAATAAAACATGATTGCAACAGTATCTAGTATCGGCTCCTCTCTTTAGAAACTTTTTTTCCTTATTAATTTAATTCATTAGTCTATAGAATTTTTATAATTTAATTTAAAAAATTAATTACATATGTAGTGAAAAATTGGAAATAGCACAACTTTACATGCTAAAGAAAATCCATCTGTTCAAGTAATATAACTATAACGAAGTAATATTCCCCTCGACAAAATTGATTGTTCAAACGCACGCAAGCTACTTTTCCCCTTTCCTGTTCTGACAATGTTGAAAGCATCTGCGATTGTCATGCGCAATTTTTTACCATCACGCTACTAACAAAGTACACCAGTCGTCTTCGCGCTATCGTGACGACAGTATGGCTAAGCTTAACATCCCCTGGTCGAATGTGAATAGTGAGAAGGATATAATCAATGCACTAATATGGAACCAATGGATACTACGAATTCTCGGAATCTGGCCATTGGTTTATTCGAATACTACAACGATCGAGAAGATATTAGCAACGATATCATTCGCGTTATGCTGGTCCGCGCTCAGTTTTCTTCTAATTCCCATGGTTATTTTTACAGTGTCAGAACGAACAACTGTAAACGATAAAATCAAAATGCTAGGTCCGCTAAGCTATGTGTTAATCTCGACGTTAAAATTTTTTTTCCTGATAATTCATCGTAAGAGCATACGGCAATGCATTAACGTGCTAAGTACTGATTGGCGTGCAGTCCATCAGCAGGATTATCGAAAAATTATGATTAAAAATGCGGCAAAAAGTCATGTGCTATCTAAGTTTTGTATAATGTTCATGTATTGTGGAGGCTTGTGTTTTCATACCGTAATGCCATTTCTGACGCACACCACAATCGACGAGCAGAATGTCACTGTTAAACCTATACCTTACCCCGGCTTTGATATTATTTTTGATATGCATTTTACGCCAACCTATGTATTTGTATTTTGTGCACAATGGTTTTCCGGTATTGTACTATTCAACGTCACCTCGGCAGTGTGTTGCTTGGCAACCATGTTCGTAGCTCACGCTTGCGGTCAAATCGAGATTGTAATGGATCGCGTAGAAAGCTTTATAAAAGGTACACAAAGCAGTCGTATGAAACAACATATGGCAATTATCGTAAGACACCACATACAGTCATTGAGGTGAGTACTTTATGCAGATCATTGCGAAAAGAAATGTTGTGTCAATTATAACCGATTTATTATTTAAATTAAAAATTATGAAATGCTTGATACAGAATAATTACGGCAGAAGAAAAGCAACAAAATTTTAACTTTTATAAATACAGAAATATTTACTTCATAAATAATAATTAAATTTAATTAATAATTAAAGTTACAATTAAATTATAATTATATTAATAATTAAATTTAATTAATAATTAAATTTTATTAACTGTACTCAATAGTTCACCGCAAAAAGTGGAAAATAGAAATTAAATTAAATGAAGTATATAAAATGTACAATAAAAAATTTTGCAGATTTTCAGTCAGTATCGATAATATTTTACGCGAAATATGTCTGGTTGAAATAGTGGGAACAACGTTAACTATATGCCTGTTGGAATATTACTGCATCATGGTAATGTGTAAAAAATTTCAATAATAATTGTAAAAGTTACAATAAATGATTCAACTCACACTTTTATATCAATTTTTTTCTAATTTTTTTATCGAATATATGGATATTTGACATATTTTATGAATTCATTATTTTCTATTTTTTGAAGAAATAAAATTTTATGATGTGAAGACATATGTTCTCAATTTAATAAAAAAATAAAATTAATAATTTAATATTATCTAAATCTCACAG